TGAATCACCTGATTCTTGAAGGACCCTTGCTTCCTTTTCTTTTGTTTGACAGGTGGATGCTGGATCTTCATTCAGCTTATGGGTCATTACCTCCGGTGGTATACCTGTTATATCTGAATATGATCAAGCAAAGCAATCTGCGTTAGCTTTTAAAAATTCAATTAACTTACTTTTCATCTCCGGGCTGAGGTTGGTTCCAATGTAGACTTTTCTGTCTGGCCAATGTACAAATAATACCAAAGCTTCCAGTTCCTCGATTGTTGTTTTGATGTTTTCATTTTCTTCTGGTTCTTGAATAGTATCAGGTCTTGAGTCTACATCTGTTTGTCCGTCTATAGTTGAGGCTTGCGTTGCTAAATCCTCAACTAAATTCTGTAATTGCTATTTTTCGTCGCTTTTCGTGCTTGAATCTGGCACTGAGTTAATGCTTCGAGAAGCCTGTTTATCACCACGGATTTGTCGTATTCCCCATTGTGAAGGAAACTTGATAACTTGGTGTAGGGTAGACGGAACAACATCCATTTCGTGAATCCACGGTCTGCCGAGAATCATATTGTACGCCATGTCCATTTCTATCACTTGAAATTTGGTATCTTTGACTACTCCTTCCGCGAATGTGATGAGTATTATCTCCCCTTTTGTTACAACGCTGGAGTTGTCAAAACCAGACAAGGTCCGTGCTTTTGATACCAATTTATCAATGGCTTGCATCTCGTTTACCACTCTTAACAGAATGATATTTACAGAATTACCTGGATCAATCAAAACTCGTTTTACGTTAGTATCATGTACAAGTAAAGATAATACCAGTGCATCATTGTGTGGGGTCAGCACGCCATCTACATATGCATCATCAATGTTATACTATCTTCTTCCAAAACTTGACGAACTCGTTTCCCATGGGTGACTGTGATTTTTGACACCTTCTTTGCTGCCGTATATGTTACGCCATTGATCTCCTCCCCTCCACTTATGACATTAACCGTTCTCTTTGGTGATGGAGGTTTCGGCGGTTCTTGCCTATTCTTCATATATGCTTGCTTTCCCTTTTCACTAAACAATTCTGTTAAGTAACCTTGTTTTAATAGATGCTCTACTTCACCTTGTAGCAATCTGCAATCCGTTTTGTGACCGTGATCGTTGTGAAACTCGCACCAAAAACCGGGATTTCTCCTGTTTGGGTTCGATCTCATTTCTTTTGGCCACCGTACCTTATCTCCCATGCTTCTTAAAACAGCCACCAACTCGGATGTGCTAACATTAAAACTGTAACCACCAATTTTTGCTTTTGAACCTCTATCGTCGTCTCGCGTATCTCGCATGTTTCGCTCCTTTCTGAACCTTGACGATGAACCCGATTCTCTGTCCCTTGATCTAGGGTCATATCTTGGGTTTTCCTATTCTGAACGTGAATCCCTTCCTGCTGGTCCCATATAAGGTTCGTACCTGTTTTTACCGGACCTTTTTTCAGTTTCTACCCGCCTTGAACTTACTCTTTCATCTTTCCAACACTGAGTGATAGTATCTTCTTCTATCCGCAGCTTTGTGTTGTATCTATTGTAAACGTCATTCCAAGTTGTTGCGGGAAATTCTCGTAAGCTTTCTTTGAGTCTTCTCGTGGCTTCCGAGCTTTTTTTATTTAGATTACTGGCAAATGCCATAGCCGCCCAGTTATCAGGTACACGTGGCAACATCATCCTTTCACACTGGAATCTGTCTACGAATTCCCTGAGCAACTCCGTATCTCCTTGGTGGTACACCAGGTATCTGCTCTATGCGATCGCTCTGTTCCTTGAGCTGCTTCTGCAAAGTTAGTACTAAACTTTGTATGTCAGAATTAACTGGGTTACCTGACCCCCCACCACGAGATTCGCTGGGAGTTCCTCCGCTGCCTGAATTAGCGAGTCCCGAGCGGGGATTTTCTATGGTTGCAGTGTTGTTTGGAGGTGGAGGTATAGTCGGCAACCTGCTGACAAAAGCTTGAAGAGCATTGTTGACCTGTTGGGCGATTAATTGCTTCAACGTTGCATCAATAGCTTGATTGTTCTCATGCTGGTCATTCGTATTCGATTCAGATCTGTCAGGAGTCCCTTCTCGAGATTGTCGAGGAGAGTTTCGTGGTGAGGGGATTGGAGTTCCATCTCCTTGTTGATTTAGCTGATTCAACTGATGCTGCTGAGTTCCGTCTCCTTGTTGATTTAGCTGATTTTTTGTTGGTTTTATAAGTTTTGTTGGTCGTTGTCGTTGACGTTCGACATGGTTTTTTGACAGAAGAATGGATTTGGAAAGTGAGAAGATTATCAGATTCCCGGTAACGGAACCAATTTGCTTAACCAGAAAATAGGAATTTTGGTCAAAGCTTATTTTTAGAAGTAATCAACTAAAAGAATATTTTTGCAATGGAAAAGGAAAATTAGAATGAGAAATAGCAAAGCAATCGATATAAAGCAAAGTAAATAAGTATATTCCAATAGTAATCAGAATGTATCCATACAAATGTCATTTCTCTTCCTTTTATAGCTATCTCTAAGTACAATGCCTCTTTCCTCTCATAATTGAGCCATCATGAGCATTTAATGACATTAATGAAACGTTATAATTGGCAATCGTAACTGTTTCGTGAAGATTCTGTAACGTTCCTAATCATTCATGCTCATTAATTGAAGATTAGCGAATCTATACTTTTTGCTGTCTTGATTCATTCCACCGGTGTCTCTTCAAATTATGAAGAGACCCGAGCGACTGTTTCTTCTTGTCACTTAGACGCTTTGCTCGTACCTATTATGACTCGCATCTCTCTAAGTACTCTTCGCCAGCTGTCACTTTTCTAATGATCCACGTGTCTTGCTATGTCAGCCACATAATTAATTCCAAGTGTAATATTTATTTTCCCCAATACACGATCACCATAGGAATTGTTAATCCCCAGGTCCTCCACACAACTCACACTAACTTTATCTCTATTTGCTACTAAACAGTAGGGTGTCAATGGTTCGGCTCGGCCGGTTATTTTATAAAATTTGTACCATACCAATTTTTCGGTTATTCAATGTACAACAAAAATTAGACTTTTAAAAACCGTACCAACATGTCGGTTTCTCTTCGGTATCGGTACGGTTCGGTTAATTTTCGATATTTTTTCAAATGTCATTTAAAAGTCACAAGTAGAAGCATAATGCAATAACATACCTACGTTTATAGGATTTATCAAAACTCTCTAGATATTTTTATTATTTAAAGGGTGATGAACTAAGAAAACATGAAAGATGACCAAAGTATAGATCCATCAACTATTCCACAGCAGCTTAAAAGAAACTAAGCAATGATAAAGAAAATATAAATCACACGGGTGGAAAGATATTAAGCAAGCTCAGACTCAAGAATAAAGTCTAAAGAAGATTTAATATTTAAAAATATAAATTTAAATCGTACGAAAGGAAACATATTCAATACATTATCGTTTGGTACTCATAATTGCTAGATTACGTTGTGTCTTGCTAGTGAATATGCTGCAAATAATTTAGTTTCAATAGGAGTAGTATAATAGGTTTGGGAATTATGATTTTGAGTTCATTAATTGTTGGCTTGTCCCGTTTTATAATTTCAAGTGCCCAAGGAAAAAATTAATGTTTTATTATTTTTAATATTAATATATAAATATATATTTTTCATGTAAATTTATTCGGTACGGTTCGCTATTTTTTCGGTTTATTTTATAAAATAAAAAACCTACCCTAATTGTCGTCGGTACGGTTATAGATTTATATAAAAACCTACAGTTTTATTAAAAAAAAACCTAAAAATCGATTCGACTCGGTACGTCGATTTATTCAGTTTTTTAAATATTCATTGACACCCTTGCTAAACAGTGTCATTTGCTCAAAAAATACTACATTACACTTCCCACAAATATGACTACCAAATGTATAAAAGAGAAAGGCAATTTTCTTCCTAAACATGTTTCAATGTTACTTACATCGAAGCAGGCTCTAATACTTGTGTTACGGTAAGCTACCTACATCACACAGTGGCGGAGTCAGAATTTCCAATAAGGGGGTTCAAAAATTTCTGAGGGTTCAAAAGAGAAAAAGTTAAAATATTAGAAGAGATCATGGCTAGAGGGAATTGGATTAGTAACCTTACAAAGCTTGTGAAGCCCCTTGACCACTAAGCTATGCTTTTTAGTTGTGTCAAGGGAATTCAAAATACAATATATAGAGGTACACAATAGATTTTGCCTTATATGTACAATGCTATTTTCCGGCGAAGGGGATTCGCCCTCCTAAATCCGCCGCTGACATCACACCTCTTGGGATGCGACATTTGCCTGAATCCCGTGTGAATGCAAGATGCTTTGTGCATCGGGCTACCGTTTTTCTCATCGATATGATTTGCTTCATAATCAGCCTTCACAAGGTTAAACGTAAAAAAATTGCAAAAGAGGGGAGAGATGAGATGAAGTAGAAAATGAAGCAATTTTTTCGTGATTTTTAAACCAGCCACTTCCAAAAAAAAATTAAAAAAACAGCATGTATAAGAAATCTGGAGAATTATATGTGTTCTGCGTCCCTATATTGAAGGGATAGCAGAGAATTGAAGTTGAACTATAAATATAGTACAAATTCCTAAAATACAGATATGGAACATGAGAAAGCAGCATCTAATAAATAATAACACAAGCTCATGATATATGCACACAGCAGGCAAAACTATGGTACACAACAAGAAAACACAACAGATATTCAACCTGCTGCCGTAGTACACAAAATACAACGCATCCGAGGGGCACCTGAAGAAGCATCCCCATCATCGTCATCATCATCTTCTTCTTCTTCATCAATACCATTATCAAATTCATAATATGACCCAGTCCCCTTGGAAGCAGCCCCAGACTCTTTTTTACCGCCCACGGAAATGGTGGATTCCATAAGACACGTTGTATGGTAGGCATGACAACAAAAGAAGGCAATAATTGATACATTCTGTAGAGAAAACGGATCAAAACATATGCAACACCTTGCACCCCCTCTGGTTTTTGATTTGACCTCCATGGATTTCATACTCATGACTCTCTCTCCTAAATGTGAAGCCTTCTGCTCACTCTTGCGGGAACGTGCTTGATCAACATCATCGCTCAAACATATCGCACGCTTTGCTTCCTTGTAGTATTTGACCAGCAGGTTGACACAATCAGCCTGGCAGCGAAACCAAATCATCAAAGGAATTACTTCATCATAACTTGCAAGCGAATGCAAATCTTCTGTAACAATCCTGGAAAGGGGGTCATAACTAATGTACCTTAAGTATGTCATTACATCCATGTCTAAGAGAAGTTTCTGTTCTGTAGTCAGTGACAATTTTGACTAGACGATCCCTCAGACTGCAATGGAATGCAATATTGCAGTTACATTCAGGTTAGTTCCAAAAGATTCAAGCTCACTAACAGCACTTAGCATCATTAATTGCAAACCCAATCTGACTAACTCATTACATCAAAAATACAAACCACAGCATCCAATAAGTGTCACAAAAAGTCTAGATTTTAACTTACAATGCTCACGAAAAAGCAATTTGAGTCACGATTAGATTACATCCTCCTATTTCACTAGTCAAAAAGACTTACCAGCAGTAAAAACATTTTATACCAAAATAATAAAAGCAAAAAAATTCATGTATCTTGTTTAAGGATGCAATTGAGGCAAGCTAATTCAAGGGTATAGTAACTCACTAGAGTTATACGACATTGATATTTGCCGCTAAGCCCAAACTAACACAACAAGCAGTTAAAAGGACGCAACTTTTCCTTGCAAAAATGTTCTCATGAAAAGTAATTTTCACCGAAGAATGGAGACACTAAACTAATAAAAGCCTAAAAAGGAATTGTTGGACGGGGCATAATTAGGCAGGTGCTCCGGATGCATTCTTCTAACTACTACCACGATATCAGATGTATGTAAAGATATTTTTTTTTTATAACCAATAGATTCACTATTTCCAGCATCAAAACTCAGTCGATAACCCTTCACTACTTAGATTCACCAGTTAGTTATCCACCACTTATGATTCAAATACGAGACATGCAACTACCACATATCCTGCACTATACTACCTTCACCGTTGCACCAAAGTTTTGAAGGCATGTGCATTTGTGAATGCCTAGTCTTTTTGTATGTGTATTTCATGTTAATTATTATTAAAAATTCAAAGAAGACAAAAATGAAAGATATACCTTTAAAAAAAAACTTATAAAGAAGCAAAGATGGTTCGTTTCCTACATAGAATTATATGAACTACACTTTCCAAGAAGGAATTAAATTTTTAAAGAATGTAAAAGACATATTCCGAAAATTCCTAACATAAATAAAAAAAGGGTAAAAAATACATTTCTAAAATTCCTAATGTGAACAAAATAAAAGAGGGTAATACCTTTTCACGAAGAAATCAAATTGTCTTCAATTCCTAAAATCTAACGTAAACAATCAAGTAGTGTTCCATTCCTAAAAACATACCTAAATATAAGTCAAAAGGGATAATATTTTTCATGAAGGAAGGAAGGAATCAAATAGTCTTCCATTCCTAAAAACATACCTAAAAAGGAAAAAATCTCACCAAGAAGGAACGAGATTGTATTCAAAGTATAAATCTATTCCTGACTATTCCTAACATAAATAAAAAAGAAATAAATTAATAGTAATTACAATTTTACTTTGAATGCACCCACGAAGGGTAAAAAAAATCTATCAACATTTTCTGTTGGAGCTTCGTGCTTGTATAATAGTGTAGTATAGATAAAGATAACAATTCTTTGATAACTTCAGCAAATGGATGCAAGTTTTGAAGTTCTACAGTGGATCAACTTACATTAGTATTGGATTCATTGATAAACATCAAATACTTGGTAAGATTTCCCAATCTAATTGGGAAGAATTACGTTGAGGACCCAAATGCACAGGAAGCCTGTTCGATAAACCATCGGTGAATGCATCGTCCACACACACACACACACACAAAAAAGGAAAGCCTGAAGCTCAAATTCATAGCAGAAGAGAAATTTTACCAATAAGATACTTTACTACTCATACCTATGAAAATGTGAGTTTATTTTACCGACAAACTTACCGAGGTATTTCCAAGCCATTGGGCAACATATTTACAATGTAAAGGGGATCAAGATTCCCTACAGTATGCTCTAATAATACTCCAACCTGTAAATAAGAAGAAATAAGGCAGCTTAATCCAAAACGGCAAACATTAAAACAACGTTCATAGATTCTCCTGTGCTTTAACAAAAGGGAAAAGGAAAGTGATGCTTTACCATTTCAGGCTTATTAAGACTTTGCTTAATCAGCTCTTCCCAGAGTTCATCATCATGTTGCATGCTTACAAATTCTATGGCCTGCATGTGAGTAGTAATAAGGCTAGTCCATTGAACTTTAAACTTAAAAAAGTAATATCAAGACTACAAAATCAGCAAAAAGCCACCTCTTCTATATCTCCTAATCTATTTATAATAACTGCAAGGGCCTGCTTTGCATTCCCCATTCTTCCAAGGATGAAAACTTGCTCCTTTAATAAATCTCTCTTCACGCAGATATCATAAGCCTAGCATAATTCATTAAAGAAAAGGAAGGTCAATAAGAAGGACAATAAGCCAGAGATTGAGACATGTCAGCCATTCATTCACAAAAACCTTCTCAAGTGTATAATGCTGGCTACTTCTGAGAAAGGGAAGCATCATCTTTGGATCACAGTCAGCATAAAGCTCAACCTATGAAAATCATAAACAAACAGAAACTGAATCAGTGGAGACAAATAGAATCCACAAAATTTAAGAATCAAATAACAAAATTAAAGGCATCCAAACCAAGTAAATGCATAGACGTTACAAAGTATGGACATAAAAGACAAAAAACCACAACATGGGGCATTAAAACCTTAAGGCATAAGGAAATACTTGTCTTGCCACTTCCAAAATTATATGTTCTCAGCTAGTTGAATGCTATCTTTCTCCTATGGAACATATAAGACGCTGCTTTTCTTTTTAGCCTGATCAATGAGAGAGACTCTATGTTTCATGGGCTCATCTATAGGTACTATTTGATACCACTGGGTAAGTATTCGAGACATGTACATGTAGTTTTATATACTCCACATATAACTTTTTTGTGTGCATATTTTGAAGAATTCAGACAGTACCCACACCCATGTCGGACCAGATTGACATGGTACGCCAAAGACAAATGAAGGATCCATATAACATAGGAGATACTTAAGTTACCCAAAAACTAAATAGACATGAAATTGTTTAATCCACTGTGTGTATGGATGGGTGAGCACAATTAACAACGTAACATAAAATGTAGAACACTGGAGAAAGGCTGCTTCAGGATAAGGATATTTATAAGCATTAGGCAGGGCTAGTTAATGGAACAGCTCTTTCTCGAGTTATTGAAGATTTATACAATTACCGCTGAACGTGTTAATTTTATGTTCAACATAGCTGATATCATCAATGTAATGGATTAACTTTTCTCCACTTTCAGTAACGTTTAATTGGTTTGGACCTGTCTTACCAATTTAGAGTTTAGGGCCTAGTGTCCTTGAGTTACCACATGGAAATGCTCACAGATTAATGGTGCTAACAAATTGTCAAGTGGCACAAAATGGGATAAGGGCACCTATATGATCAGAAAGACACTGCATATACCTTCAGTTACAATTCAAAACAAAAATATTTAGCCCAAGAAGCATGAGCAGTGGCATAATTCTTGTCATAAAAGATGCATCGCCATGTCACATAGGCCTCACCTAGTAATTACCTCAAAGCTAAACAAGCTTTAAAGTGAACGCTACCATCTATACAAACCTGCATGTCATGGTACTCCCGTCCAGCATGAGGATTCACCTCAAATAGTGAATGAAGGTACAGATGCAAAAGGTAGCGATGGTCACACTTATTCCTTGCAGCCATAAGTTGTGACACCACTTCGGGTGGATGTATTAGGTCCCTATGCTGGATCAACAAAGGTATGGCACGCTTGCTGTCAACCATCATAAGTTGGACAACCTGTCAGTCCATGGCAATTAGACAATCATAAGTGAAGCAATTGTAGAAGCATATTATCTAACCTATGGCCATTATTATGTTCTTAAAGTCTGTTACTTCTTGTTTCAAGAATATCAAGAATGCAAAGTTAGGATTTTATTTCCTTCTAGAAATAGTAAACCATCAATCGACCTAAAGAAAAAACGGAACAGAAAACGAGAAAAGATAAAGATTTCATTTTCCATTTGAGCTGAATTACATCTTTCTCAACATAATATATGAGACAGTTAGATAACAAAACTCAGCCAATCTAATGTATAACCATACCTTTTCACGCATAGCATCATGCAAATTATGCTTTTCAATGAAGTCGAACAGATCCGGCTTCATAAGCTGGAAGCATAAACAATTGGACAAAGAGCAACAGAAGTCAACTTCTTAACAAACAATTATCAACATCCTCCTCCAGAGTAATAAATTTAATAAGCACTGAACTTACATCCGCATAAATAGCAAAAGCTTTTTCGTGTTGTCCATCAATCACATATAATTCTGCTAATGCCTATATGTTAAAGTAGAACAATAAATAAATACGCCTAAAAAAAGCATATAGAACATAAGAGATAAATAGTAACTCCTTTGCACTTACCTCTTTGATGTGATCAGTCATAGATGAGGTATTAAGCTGAGATTCTATAGCTGAGATAACAGGTGATGTAGAATAAATGCTAGGTGGCCAGGATTTGACAGTTGATAAGAGATCCTTGTGGAAAGCTGGATTTGTTGCCAGAGCAACAAGAGCTACCTAAATTACAACAAATGATTGTTGACTATCTTTAGGCATGTATATGAAATCATTCAAGAACCTACTGGACACAGTAGAAAAGTGCAGACCTCATAAGCTGTATCACGCAATCTTGGATTTTCTGTTGGGATGTATGGAACCAACACGGGGAGTTGTCGCAGATGTGCAAAATGGAAAACCCATCTGGAAAAAACAGCCAATTGCAATTCAATAACTCAAAGTATATTTTCCAAGAGATTTCAGTGTTTTAAAGATATTTATACCTTTCCCACGCAGAAGCTGATCCTCGCAACAGTTTTGGACATAATGATGCCGCTTCGCCATACTTCCTTTCCACAATCAGATGATCAAGGTATCTTGAACCCACCTGATTTGAGGAAGCAATTTTGTGAGAGAAACAAGCTTGAATGAGTATCTTGTTAGTGGATGTCCAAATCTTATAAGCATGATCAAAAGGAACAAGCATAAACTTAATACAGAAACTATCCATATATAGTAAAATGTACTGCTCCAGAAATTGAGAACTGTGACAACTAAATCTACTGGGCACTATGCAAATGAGTTGTGTCAAGCAATTTTTATCTTTATCCAATAAGATGAAAATATACCATTTCGGAACAGAAGGCAGAAAGAGAAGATGAGGGCAGCATACAACAATTTAGAAACTTGTATTAGTGATAGGACTTTTATATATAAAACACACATAGAAGTTGTTGAGCATCATAGCAACAAATTAATCAATATTAAGCTGAATTGATATGAAAACAATATATGTTTGATGCAAAAGCAAGGTAAACTACATTCAAACAAAATACCTCTTCATGGAGCTCACTCCTTCCCTGATTAGCCTCAACTGCTTCTAATGCTTTCTCATGCCATCCATGCTGGAGAAGCCAATTAATATGATCTTCTGTGTCCCTAAAAATCAATCATAGAATAAATATGAAATTAAATTAACAATTTCTGTCAATCATCACTCCTGTATCCAAATAGAAGGGAGTGCCATTCTTTTTTTTTTTTATTTGCACCGGGTGTCCGAGTCTCTAAGAGCCCCGACTAATCCCGGGGGTGCACAGGCCCTCGGCAAGGAGTTTCCCGCAAGTGCACCACGGTTAATTCAGGTTTTACCCAGTCCGATGGCCCTCAGAAATTGTTTGCACCCAGTGGGTTTCGAACTTGAGACCTTGAAAGGGAGCAAACCCCAAGGCTCAAGTCTATTGCCACCAGGCCAACCCCTGAGGGTTAGAAGGGAGTGCCATTCTTTGGATAGATAAATGTTTTTCGATTGTTAAAATAAAATTCTTTGGATAGACAGATGTTACTGAATGGAATTTCAAGATCCACCTCTGCAGGGGAGATACATAGGAGTTAACTTATGAGGCACGATACCAACTTAAAGTCCTTAATGGGGTCAGAGACTTTTAGGACATGCACATGCCTAGACATCTGTAACAAATTCTTCTATTTTTGCATTCTTTTTTCTTAATTTATGAGCACGTGAATCTTCCATTTTGCAGGAATGTCCTACATTTCCACACCAAATGAAAGCTTGTTTGGCTCCTGTTGAGGGCCGGATTCTTTTCTCCTCTTCCTCTTCTCTTCACCACCTTTGCCCCTACTTTTCTGCTTGGCTGCTAGCCTGCTACCATGCTTCTGGTTCAGGTTATCTTCTTCGTCTACCCTGCTTCTCTGTTCTCAAATTCAAGCTTTCTTCTTCCTCTTCCTCTTCCTCTTCCTCTTCCTCTTCCTCTTTCTCTTCCTCTTCTCCTTCCTCCTCCCCTTCCCCTTCCTCCTCCTCTTCCTCTTCCTCTTCCTCTTCCTCTTCTTCCTTCACTAGTATTTCCCAAACCACCTCCCTCCCTCCTAATTCGGTTTATTCATCTTATTTATTTATATTTCTCTCTGCTTATGCATTTGCAGCACAACTATAGCTCCAAATTGTACGACTTTGATATATGAAATAAGAGAATCTTGAATTAATTAGTATCTGGAGTTACTTGGATGCCTTCCTGAAATCATAAATTGTTACTTGTAAAATTTAAAAACAGATCATTAAAATGTCACAGTCCACCACGGAATATAGGCCTCATGCATGAAAGGTTTTGTACACTTGAGAAATAGCATCCTTTCCCTTATTTCCTTTTGGTGCACCCACGAGGCTCCTATATGTATAGAAGATTGGGTGTCTTTCATAGAAAACCATGTCTTTTTGTAAGGTTTTCTATTTTTTGGTATACCTCTTGTATTAGGCCGCGCTTTTTGCCCTACTTTTAATGAAGTTTATTACTTTATCAAAAACAAATCACTTGGAAAAAAAAAGGGCAACACTAGGCACTAATTGTTCAGAAGAGATCGATCCTGGTAAAAGAGAAAGAAAACAGAGCATACCAGCAAATAACACAAAAGAACCTCACTTTGCTTGGTGCAGATATGCATAATCACATAGGAATTGACACATGAAAACAATTCGAAAAGAGCTTTACCAACCTTGGCTTCGCAATAATCACATCTTTTGGGGACACAATGTAGTATAAGGGTTCATCACCAGCAGCCCACTGACCCCCTGCATAGCTGCTACCTAAACCATTTGGTTATGTTATATCAACTTCATAAAGCATCTCTTAAGTGAGTCACATGAATACAGAGTGATGAAAGACACAAACACTCAAGATTACCTGAAAATGGAGCATGTGCAAGTGAATAGTCTTTCGCCTTGTAATGCTCAAAGCCATGTACAGGGAGAGCATCGGTAGCAAGCTCATCATTATTCCACGTCACGACACGCACTTCTGGTCTTTGAGCATTTCCCTGTTGGATGAATTACAAATCCTAGCAACTATCACCAATTACCCTTATTAAACAACATGGATATCAGTAGCATTTAGTGGGTAAACAAACGAAAGGTTAGGAGAATGTCCTACAGAGAAAAGCAAAGGTTATGGCGTTAATGTCATATGGTGGAGGCAACCAAATATATAGTTCATCTGTCAGAAAGCTACGAGGGACATGGCAGTTTGAAATTGCAAAAACTTACAAGTAAATTTGAGAATTAAATACATCCATTATATAATTTATTTGAACATATAGCCCCCTCTACATAACTTAAGCGCATAACTTTCTCCAAAATATGCATCATAGAAACGATTGAATTTTTTTTCACAATCCCCTCACTAACTCACTGCATAAGACTAAATTAGCGTTCTTACTAGATGACCTCCTCACCAGCCCTACTGCCCCCACCCCACCCCACCCCCCCACCCCCCAAAAAAAAAAATTTCTGTATCTTTGGTCCTTCTTGGGTTTAAAATCTGAACTAATAGGAAATGTTGTCCTTTTCAAAAGAACAAGAATAGCCAGCTTGGGTAGAAATGTTAACAGTCAACCAAGTCCATAAATGAAATAGAGCTTTGTGAATATTCCAAAAGGTGAGGAAGGTCATGCGACACGAAACTTCTGGAGCAGTATACAATTTTAACCCAAAACTTTACAAGACCACATAGACATGCAGTGGTCACTTGATGAAAAAGAAATTTTCCTTTCTTACAAAAACTTCAAGAAAAAAGGAGTGGATTAAGAAAGGGAATAACTTAAAAACAAAAGAGTGGAATATAAAAGGCAAGAACTCAACAATCTCATAACTATGAATTTGATGCATCACAGAGACGTGAAATTGTACAAAACAACATTTAAGTGACATAATATAGACAGCAGAAAGAAGAACTTGTGAGTCAAACACGGTTATGCAACTATTTAGATCTCGCTAAAGAACTTCTCTACTGGGTTTTAGGTAACAAATATTTCTCCTTATGCCTCCGACTTTAAGATATACACTATCTTCCCCCCTTTCTCCTCTTCTTCTTGCCCAAATGGCCATCAAAGGCTCAGTAACTTTTTCTTTCTCATGGGGTTCTTTCCCAGCTTGCACACTCCTCGACTATTCCATCCAAGTACCGGCTAGCTCCCACCAGCACAGTATTGGGTAATTCTGCCCACCAATACTTAGCAAAATATGAGAATAAATCACCAAGTATTTTTACCCCACTTGTGGGAAATTACTGGGCTTGTTGTTGTTGTTGTATTTGAACTCGGGTCTCCAAGATATGTATCCACTTCATTGTCCACACGGCCACACCCTTGGTGTAACAATGAAGGAAATTCTAAGCGCATAGTAGCATTAAAAGACTTCATCCAACAGTCTTGATTACTATGATACTAGAATTTACATTCACGTCGAGTACAAAAATTTGAAGTCAAGGGCTGGCAGCAAGTAACTACAAAGGATTTTCCCTCAAAATAAGTAAACTTCCCATAAAAGTGAGCATAGCAAGAAATATAACTCATTCATAACACAGAAAGGAACCAACTACATTGACACTTGATCCAGTCTATCAGTTAATTCCAAGGTCAGAAAGAAGGAAACAGATACCTGTCTTGAGGGAATAGTGCTGCTGAAGTCCTTCTCTCCATCTTCGGCAGGAATATAAGCTAGAATAACCAAAGAATCACCAAAAGGAGCAATTCCTGAAATGAAATAGCTGGTTTGAAAGGATGCCACAATGTCCACCTGATTCAGACTAGACATGGTTATATACTTGTATGTCCCATTCACGCCTTTGTTTTGGTTTGTTCTTATCGATGCAATTTTCACAGAGGTTCCCCATCCAATGACCAAAAGAGTGTCATCCTGATTGTGAAGGTAAAACAATGAGAATTGTCCAGAATAATTAGAAGTAACAACATACACAACAACTAAGACCAAAAGAGACAATTATGGTTTTACTTGCAGAATATGGTGGGAACCTAATGTATTGCAGCAGTCTTACATTGCATACACATGGCTCATTAAAAGGTACAATTAGTTTTCTACAACAGCCTTGAAACCTACCTGCCAAACTATATGAGGGACCAGAAGTTCAGGGCGAGGACTTCCACGAGGTCTTTCAATGAAAGTTATGCGCTGATCATTGGCAGCATCATAAACTTTTACTCCTGCATCATTCGCCCAGGCAATGAGACTAGTCCGCCACTTCACTGCATGAATTGGACCTTCACCAGAGTGCAGAACCTGCCAAAAGAACCACATGAATACAAATCCACAATCTTTTCATGTTCCTTCAATCAGAAAAGATAAATGCAGTTAACCCTATGGACAAAAGACAAACCTGGTCTCGATAGCCCATCCACTTCTTAGCATTAAGATACAAATTACCAGCTAAACCACCAGTCACAAATCTTCTGGAAGATTTTCTTGCATAATCTGGGTCTAACGCAACGGCCTTCATTGGCCGATGATACTCAAATTTCATCCTCTCATTAGTGAAAAGACTATTTATTATGACAGATCCATCATCAGAACAGCTTCCAATGTATTCACCTTCTGCGTCAAAACAAAGATCATTGACTGCAGCAGTATGAGCAGCAAACTCTTTAACCTGTGGCAGACAAAAATTTCCTTAATAATTCAAGTAAGGAACAAGTGACTGCTTGATTAGGAAAACTCAAACCAAAGAGCAAGAACCTTTTTATGGATAGAGATTAGAGAAATGCAATGCAATATTGGCATAATCTATATGCCAACCTTCCCTCAGAATGCAGAAGACAAACAGATTGGCCTATTTGAAGATAAAAATTGAATGAAGATAGATGCTCTAGATTCCTAACAGGCCACATCCTTTTACTGATTACTACAATAGACAAGTTTGCACCACTACAAAGAACAATAATTTCAATAGTTTACACATCTCCATAGCCCAAACTAGTCGGATTTGGATATAAGAATTTCTATATTCATTCTACTCCATCTGAATCACTCTCATTTCGGTACTCGTCTACTCGATAATTACAAAGTAGTGATTTTTTAAAACTAGGAATTATCTAAACCTCACACTAATCCCTATAGTGATATAGAAACCTCTAACTAAACTAAGAAGACTCCTGGCTAGCACCAAGAACTAATGTAAGTGTACCAACAACAACTAAACATCTAAACCTTAATGTCACCTACTCAGCATCGCCTACATGAATACTTTCTTCGATTATATTATGTTCTCAATTAATACGTATGGATTCAAGAGATTGTAGGTCTTCCAAAACAATTTTCCTATTGTGTGGTTTTAGGTCTACTACGCCTTTTTTAACAACTTCAATCATCATAGTGCCTTCCAAAGGACCGGTGCATTAAAAGGTCCACATAAAACATGCCAAGACCGTCTCTGCAAGGGTCTTCTGAAAGAATACGGTGGAATTTTGAAAGAACACATGTAAGGTAGGCTTGAAGTGGCTTATAGGTTTGTTTAATGTGATTTTTATGACTACGAATATGCCCAAAGAATGGAGGTGGAGTACGATGATTTTGTTGTAGAAGAACAAGGGTGATATCCAAAACTGCAATAACTATAGGTAGGGGTGTTCATAAAAAACCCGAAAAACCGAACCAAACCGAAAACCAAACCAAACCGACCAAAAAAACCGATACTTTTTGGTTTGGTTTGGTTTTGGTTTTGAATTTTAAAAACCGATCAAATTTGGTTTGGTTTTGGTTTTAATCAGCAAAAAACCGAACCAAACCGACTATAGGAGTAGCTATTTCAAATTTATTATTACACCTATATATATGTATATTGTTATACAAAGTTTCAAAAACTTTATGGTAAATGTTAATAGTTTGCACTTTTAATATAGTTCTTTACCTTTACATTCTAGTTTGATTGGTAGTTTTCTTTTGTTAGTGTAAGAATCCATTTCGTGTTAAAAATAACATATTCTTAATTGAGTCCTTAAATTATTCATCACTATTTGATTCAATTATCATCAATATATCTTAGTAAATAATAGATTTCTCAAAGGGCAATTGATTTGATAGTTTACATTGAAAATGTGGTCGCCGGAATATGTGTTTAGTAGTGTATGTCTTATATTTAAGAAAAAACTGACAAATAATCGAAAAAACCGAAAAACCGACATAAACCGAATCGAGAAAAACCGACTTAATTGGTTTGGTTTGGTTCTAATATTTGAAAAACCGACTTACTTGGTTTGGTTTCTTTTTAGGGAAAAACCGATCCAAACCGAACCATGAACACCCCTAACTATAGGGGTATCAAGCTACTAAGTCACACTGTGAAAATTTGGGAGGGGGTGGTGGAAGTGAGGGTGAGGAGGAGTATGTCTATCTTCGAGCACCAGTTTGGGTTCATGTTGGGGCGATCGAATACTGAAGCTATTCATCCCGTGAGGAGATTGATGGAGCAGTATAGGGAGAAAAGAAGAATTTGCATATGGTGTTCATTCACCTAGAAAAAGCATACGATAAAGTCCCAAGGAAGGTGCTATGGAGATGTTTGGAGGCTAGAGGTGTGTGCCTGTAGCATACAGTAGGGTGGTTAAGAACATGTATGATGGAGCTAAGACCCGAGTATTGATAGGGGGAGGAGACTCGAAACACTTCCTAGTCGTGACGGAGTTGCACCAGGGATCAGTTCTTAGCCCATTTTCATTTGCCTTGGCGATGGACGTACTGACGCGTCATATTCAAGGGAAGGTGCCATGGTGCATGCTATTTGCAGATGACGTTGTGCTGATTGACGAGACGCGGGGTAGAGTTAACGCGAGGCTGGAGGTCTGGAGATAGACTCTGGAGTCAAAAGATTTCAAGTTGAGCATGACCAAAACAGAGTACTTGGAGTGCAAGTTCAGTGACACAACCCATGAAGCGGACATGGACGTGAGGCTTGATACACAAGTCATCCCCGAGAAAGGAAGTTTCAAGTACTTGGGGTCAGTTATCCAAGGCAATGGAGAAATTGACGAGGATGTCACTTTGCATTGATGTGGCATGGATGAAATGGACGCTCGCATTCGGTGTTTTGTGTGATAAGAATGTACCACCAAGAATTAAAGGTAAGTTCTACAGAGTGATGGTTAAACCAACAATGTTGTATGGAGCGGAGTGTTGGCTAGTCAAGAACTCCCATGTCCAGAAGTTGCAAGAAGCGGAAATGGGGATGTTGAAATGTATGTGTGGACATATTAGGAAGGATAAGATTAAGAATGAAGTTATGATAAGGTGGGTGTGGCCTCCGTGGTGGACAAGATGCGGGAAGCGAGCTGAGATGATACGGCCATACGGGCATGTGAAGAAAAAATGCACTAATGCCCTAGTGAGGATGTGTGAAAGGTTGGCCATGATAGGCCTGAGGAGAGGTAGAAGTAGCCCAAAGAAGTATTGGAGGGAGGTGATTAGGCAGGACATGGCGCAACTTTAGCTGACCGAAGGCATGATCCTTAATAGGAAGGTATGGAGGTCGAGGATTAAGGTAGTTGGTTAGTAGGTAGTCGAGCACATTTCTTTTCCATTCCAGTAGTATTAATATTATTTTCGTAGTTTCTTCTTCGTAGATTTCTATTACTACCTGTTGTTTCTTTCGCGTCTATTTTCTTATCATTTTATCCTGTTGTTGGTGTTGCTTGTTACTACCATTTTTTCTTCTGACCGAGAGTCTATAAACAGCCTCTCTATCCTCACAAGGTAGAGGCAAGGTCTACGGACACACTACCCTCCCAGACCCTACTTACGGGATTACAATGGGTTTGTTGTTGTTGTTGTTGACCTTCTCTTTCATCATCTATATGTGCTACTTGCACCTACAACTTGATTTGATCGTTTCTATATTGTCTAATCTTGTCGTGCTGCATATACATCTCAACATCTACATTTCAATGACATTTATTTTGTGGAAATGATAGGCCTTACAGACCGAACATTCACTCTCATGTAACATTTGTCAGGCACACAATTGTTCTATAAAACTTACCTTTATTCTGATTATGTATCCTCTTATTGCACAACACTCCCATAGCACTTCTCTGTTTCATCTTTCTTACTTTAATTTTAATTCTACATATTCATATCATGTTATTCTTCCTACAGCATGAGCCTAGATATCTGAGTTGTCTGCGTTTTATTTTTATGAAGAATCTGAATTGTTTGCATTTAGATACTAAATCCCATCTTATCTCACCTCAAGTTCATTGTTCTTATGCAGGCTACACTTGCACACTATATATTTTGTCTTACTTCTATTCATCTTAAAACTCTTAATCTCAAGATTTTGATCGACTCCATTCTTGGTTCCGCCAATTAACTATAATACAACATTGTCTGCAAGTAGCATACACTATAAGATCTCTTCTTGTATACTATTAGTTAGCTCATTCATAACTAGGATAAGGAAATATGGGCTCAACAAAAATCACTAGTGTAAATCCAGACCAATATCCTCAAACTTGTGATAGCTCCTTCGTACATCTCCTTTAAGGCATTTATATATTGCATATATTCCAGGAACCACCAAATTACTTTTTTGACACTATCATACGGGTTTTCTAAGTCAATGAATATTGTGCAGAGATCCTTCTTTCTCTCTTATTAACTTCTATCAATTTTCCTAATGAAGATATAGCCTCCGTTACAGATGTATGGAGCATATATTTAACCTGATTTTCTATTGCTCCTTTAATCCTAGTCTATGATATATCACCATCTCCTAAAGCTTCATATGACTCATAAGTTTAATATCAGATAGTTCATACAACTTTGAATCGCCTGAATAAAGGTACTTTCTCTACTTGTTTCCAATCCTTAATATAATATTGAATAGCTTGATAAGCCATATTACTCCAACCTCTTCATTGCACTTCCCAAGAGGGATATGATTGTGACTACAAGCTTTTCAACCCTCATACTTTTAATGGCATCTTTTACTTCTAGATACGTTAGTGTATGTGTTTACCTAAGGTCTCTATCTAGCCTAAAATTACACGGGATTAGAATGATTGCAGGTTCATGAAAGCCCTAAAACTCCTCTTTCTCTAAGTTGGCTGCTTCTGATAAGGATGGAGCTTGGGCCTAACTCAACTCCGAAAGCTAGCTCAAAAGGTGAGGATTTGCCAAGCCATAAAAAGAGTCCAAGGAATCCATCCATCTCCAATGTGGGATTCTATCACCCCACTCCCCCACCCCAACCGCCGAACCCCCCTCCCGCATGCCCAGACCTACCAAATAAAGTGTGAACAATCTATCCTGGGGGCCTCGCTTTAATACCATGATAAAGAAATGAACCTTCGGCCTAACTTAATCTCAAAAGCTAACTCATGAGGTAAAGAATGCCCAAGATCATATAAGTAGACCCATTTATATTCTCCCACGCAATGTGGGACTCAGCACTCCTCATGCCTAAGACTGGACATTTGAAGCGTGGACAATATAGAATAGGGGCCCAATATCGGATATATTAGAATGAACCTTGGTTCTGATCCACAAATAGACTTTTGTGTCTAACTCAACCCCAAAAGTTAGCTCAAAGCATGAGATTGCCAAGACATATAAAGAGTCCAAGGAACGTATCCATCTCCGATATGGGCTTCCATCAGCTTCTCCATATTTTTCTGATGAAGAAGTTGGCTGCTTCTCTAGATTAAACCGTAGAAACAAAAGGAAAATAAAAATTGCTTCATTTAATTACAAAGAAGCGCCCTCTCGAGTAACTAGAAAGTTGTTAAACTATCTTTCAGCTGCACAGCACGCCCCCAGGAAACTTTCTGCAAAAATGTAAGCAGTTTTGCTGGATTCATCTTGATGATTATTTTAAGGATCATCTTTCCAGGTTAAAATCTGAATCGTGAAAGTAACAGAAAAGGCTGGCATTAGAAATGCAGACTTAAAAAGTAAACCATTTTGTTAGTACTTTCTAGCCTCGGGTGTATCACAAAATTGACGTGCATCACACATCACTAGAGTTAATTTAAAACTAAAAGAAAAGAAATGGCATCTCTCTGCTCATAATTCTCAAGCAAAACATAACCTCTAAGGGGTCGTTTGGTAGCCGGTTAGAGAGGAGTTATCTATGTATTAAATGTAGGATAACTTTATACATTGTTTGGTTAAAAGAAGGGGGAAGAATAATCTCCACGTAGAAGCTAGCATAAGTTATACAGTGTTTGGTTGTTTTTTCCTCTTTTTCACATAAAATATAGCATTGCTAATACAATGTTTGGTTCATGTATTTTCTTTTCCGCATAACTAAACATGTATAAGTTATGAGGGAATCTATGTATTATTTATGCAAGGTAGAAGGTGGAATAACTTATACATAATTAGTAATACTTGTATTAAAACACAAAATGACAAGAATACCCTTTATTCAAACTTGTATTTTTTTGTTTAAAAAAATATATTTAAACTATACTAACAATTTTAATAAAAATAAAGTAAGCTAATAATAAATAACACTCATATTACATTTATATTACTAATCCTTATATAACTACCGCATAACTAATCCCCGCATAATTAATCCATGCATAACTAATCCCAACATAACTCAACCTTGCATAACTTATCCCTGCATAACTAATACCTGCATTACTTATTCCTGCATAACTAATACATACATAACTAATACCTGCATAACTAATACATGTATAACTAATACATGCATAACTCTAACCGGTAACCAAACGACCCCTAAAAATTAAACTTTGCCTTATCCACCAATTTATTTATGCATTATCACAAGCTACTAAGAAGGAAAACTTAAACCAATTAAACAATAAAAAGAGAGCTAAAAATTGACAAAGCAGTCATCTTTGAAGGCAATTTGACCCTGTTCACTGTTTTCCAGCTAAATTAACACAAAATTTAAACAATTTCACCACAGTAACATAAACCTCAGCAATGAATTCAAAAAAAAAAGAAGAAACCTCAATGCAAACAAAAAAAAAAGAATCATTACCTGATTGCCAAGGAAATCTAGAATGTGAACGGCTCCACCGTAAGTACCAAGGGCAATCATTCGTTCGGCGATGGCAATACACGTGGCAGCATCGCTTGAGAGAAGCGATTGCACACTGCCTCCCATCCTCTGATACTTAAGTCTCGGTTCATATTCTTCTTCCTCCTCTTCTTCGGAATCTTCTTCTTCTTCTTCATCCCTCTCGTCGTCGCCGTCGATTCCGTTATCTGATAGCTTCCGTGACATTCCGAACTCCAATTAACAAGAGATCTGTAAAGGTTAGTTTAGTTACGGTACTTTACTTTTTCTTTTGTGTGGGGCGGTTTTTTGAAGAGAAAGAAAGAAGCGTTTTTGGGGTTGCCCGTTAAACAGTTGATTAGGAGGACTACTTATTTGCAAGACAACAAAAGGATGGTTAAGAAGAAGTATGACTGCCACCTGTTATTTGTTTGTGCTTAATCTAGTTTTAATTAGTTTTTTGGAAGGATATGGGGATGTGCTCTTGGTTTAGTCAATAAGGTTTTAAAGGGAGGTGCTTTCTCGTGATATTCATCTTATGCTAATCACAATATTGTTCTTTTGAGCATAATGACTCGAGTCACTTTGCTCTAGGGGCAGGGTTTAATTAAATCCCATTCACCAAAATATTATACTGTATTACATAAAGCTAAAAAACAATATTTCTTTATACCTAATTTATTGAATCTCCTTGATATAAGAAATAATTCTTATATAATGGTAAAGGGTTTGAGTCATTGTTTTAGATCGCATACTTAAATCTCAATTATAACGCTGTAAAAAAAAAAATTCAAACTCCATAATACAAATCCGTAGTCCCACCACTGATTGCTCAAATCTAATCCGATTGATTGAATTTTTTTGTCAACTAGATAATTTTGTATGTACGAGTTATCGCATTGTTCAATTACCTCAATATATTATGGTTTCTCAAACATATGCCTTGAAATCCGACCTAAAAGCACCTATACGGCCTGGTATTACTTTATAAAAGTGGCTAAGCAACTTATCAATGTCCATTGCCAAGATCATCTATGCATGCTAAATATTATTACTACTATTTTAGTTATTTCCATCAATCTTTCTCCAAGTCAAAATCCCATTGCATTACAAAGAGTTAGAAGTTTCTGTACATACGAATAATTGCGTTGATCAACAACCTCACTATATTATGGTTTCTCAAACGCATGCCTTGAGAATTAAACTTCAAAGCACCTATCAATGTCCATTACCAAAATCCCATATGCATGCTAGTCATTACTACTACTATATTAAGCATTTCCATCAATCTTTCTCGGAGTTGAAATCCTTTGCGTCATGGCGAGTGAGAGGAGTAGCATATTGTCACGACCCAAAATCTAACCTTGGTTGTGATGGCGCCTATCGTGTTACAAGGCAAGCCAATTTCCAAAATTACTACTAATCTGATTATAAGAATTTAATAAAATATTTCCAATAATTTAATTCCTGATAAACTAAACCAACTCTAAATATAAATAATATTAAATACGGAAACGAGTCCCAAACATCAGGGTGTCACTAAGTCATGAGTGTCTAAAACTATGAACTGAGATATATAAACTGTCTAACTGTCCAAAGAAGAAATGATAAAAGGAGTAACAAGGTCCTGCGGACACTAGCAGCTACCTTGCAATCTCCACAGATAGCCGACCTGAACTCAATGAACTCACCTGGATCTGCACATAAAGTGCAGGGTGTAGTATGAGTACAACCACCTCAGTAGTAACAGAGATAACTATGGAACTGAGCAATAGTGACGAGCTGAGCAAAATAGTCCAATTATTTATTTTTCACAATTTTAAAAATAACAGGAATAAATAGGTAAATTCCATAACTCAGTAAATGGCACAAAGAAATTTAACAGATAAATGCAGCAACAACAAAAGTAAATGCAACCTCACAACAATGTCACTCCATCACTCAGCACTCGCACTCAGCACTCAACACTCAACACTCAATACACTCAACACTCTGCGCTCACTGGGGGTGTGTACAGACTCCGGAGGGACTCCCAAAGCCCAAGCGCTAAGCACGGACAACTCACGTGCTACCATATCAATACCTGGATCCGCACGGTCAACTCACGTGCTACGCGGATAATTCACGCGCTATGGTATCAATACCTGGAACCGCACGATCAACTCACGTGCTACGCGGACAACTCACGCGTTATGGCATTAATATCCTCACAACCAGGCCCTCGGCCTCACTCAGTCATGTACCTCACTAGCCTCACCATCATCAACAAATAAGGGAACACAACCCACATCAAGTATCACAGCATATTAGCAAATAATAGAGACTGAGGTAAATATGTACAATAATTTCTATGACTGAGTACAAATAATGTGAGCATGAATAAAACCTAAATAGGATCTCTAACATGAAGGCAAACAAGTTCAACAACAAGTAAACACATAACAACAGATAATAGCTTTTAGGCCTGGCCTCACGGGACGGACCAAGTCTCAATCCCTCGCGGTGCACACCCACACGCCTGTCACCTAGCGTGGGTATCACCACCAAACAATCACATGATATCAATTTCTCCGGGTTTATACCCTCAAAGCCAGAGTTAAAACTCTTACTTACCTCAACCGCATAAAATCCTACTCCGGGATGCCCTCGTCTCTGGACTCGGTCTCCAAAAGCTTTGAATCTAACCATAATCAGATTAATACCACCATCATGTGCTAAAGAATCGAATTCCACAATAAAAACTACAAAATATGCCAAAAATCCGAAATCGGCCAAAACTCGGCCCCCGGGCCCACATCTCGAATCAGTCAAAAATGGCAGAATAATAATCCTCGTCCTCTCCCGAGTCTAACCATATAAAATTTGTCAAAATCGAACTCCGTTTGGTCCCTCAAATCCTCACTTAAAACTCTCCAAAACTTAAACCCTAACTCCCTCAATTTCACTTTGAAATTATCAATCAAATCCCAAAAACGAAGATGGATTCATAAATTATAATCAAAATCGAGTAGAGAACACTTACCCAATCCATATGGTGAAAATCGCCTCCAAAATTGCCCAAATCCGAGCTCCCCAACTCAAAATATGACCGAATGAACAAACCCTAGTTTTGTATATTTTTCTACCAGCTATTCTGCCTCGTTTCTCAAGCCAAACGATCCCGAAACTCGTATTTTATGCCTCCAATGGATTCCTTGTGAAATTCTAGCTTTTGAATCACTCAATTTGACCTTATAACGAAGGAGATATGTAGGTTTTAATATTTGCAAATAGTGCAGATTTTTAAATACGTTGCTAATGGCAATTTCGTAATTACTCTGAAAAAAATCTGGCAACCTAATTTTTAGTAAAATGACCATAAAATCCTCATACGATGTCCAAATTCGACGATTCTTTTTGCTACAGGTCCGTAATTACAATACGGATCTAATGCTTCAATCAAAAAAGAAATCGGAGCTCATTTGTTCAATATGATATCATTTATGCTTGAAGAAACGGCGTCGAAACATAAGAAAAACGAGCGCAACACAACCCAAACCTATCCGAAACTCACTCGAGACCCTCGCGACCTCAACCAATAATTTCAACAAGTCATGTATCACTACCCGAACTTAGTCGAACCTCCGGAACACCCAAAACAACACCAAAACACCAAATCAACCTCGAATTCAAGCCTAAAACTTTTAAACTTCCAACTTTTGCCAATTCAAGCCTAATTCTACCACGGACCTCCAAATTATATTCCGGACATACTCCTAAGTCTAAAATCAACCAACGAAGCTAATAGAATCATAAAAATCCAAATCCAAATTCGTTTACTCATAAGTCAACTTCCGGTTGACTTTTCTAACTTAGCTTTCTAACTAAGAGACTAAATGTTCATTTCACTCCAAAACTACTCCGAACCCAAACCTACCAACTCGATACAACTCAACACAGCTGAACAACATATAAATAAGCATAGATGGGGGAAATGTGGCTATAACTCTCAGAACGAATGATCGGATCGTTACACATATGGACTAGTACCACGATCATTACTTGCCCGTCAGAGACCATACTCTATGACTAACACAGAGAGTCGCTATATTACATACAACGAATGTATAATTTTTTTGAACACATAGAACTAACGATAATTATGGAGATAGACGCACACAAAAAATGCGAGAAAACTCCATTTTTGAGAGAGTTATGCTCAAAGCATAATAACATTTGTTAGCATACCGATATTTATAAAGATTCTTTCGGACACGGTCTATACTGTCAAGATGTGTCATTGACCTGACCACTATAGCATGATCTCCACCATCGTTCCTTGCAAATCTCGTGAATTCTCATTTATTTTTATTTTTATTTTTGTTTCTTTGTTTATGTCTTGGAAGCAGTGTACAAGATCTAGAAAAAAAATCACAATATTCATATTTTTCAACTTCACAAAACAATCTAAGAGATATTTCACTAGAACATTTTTTGATGAAGGATGCATAAAGAATTATCATGAATAATGAATATTTTGAATGTATTGTTTTGTACATATGATTCACTCTTTTTTTGTTTTGTCATGTAAGCCTTTAATTGTTGAAAATATTGCACTAGGGAAAGTTGATAGTGATGATGATAATAAGGTATTATAGAATATACAATCCATCCAACTAAGCAATTTAATAAAACTAAGGTACATTGGCATGATGATAAGTCAAAGGGCAAGCATAAGAAAATATTGAGGCAGAGAGAATGTCTCAATCTTCTCAAGTACAAGACCACGAACAAACTTTTATGTCGCTATCCTATAATTCTTTTTGTAAATATTTTACCTTGCAAGAAGTCATACCAACACTCATTCGGTGAAGAGTAAGTGTGAGAAAATATACAAGTCCAATATACAACCATGAAATTATCATGCTTCGTGAAAGGTATAAAGTCTATCTGATTTTAATATAAGCTTCAAGTTCAGTAATGATACCAAATAGCAGACTAATTTGTCTAGACGAGTTGATCCGTGCCAATTGATATGTCAAACATCAGGATTGAGTCATACCTATTGTCGATGTTCTTAGAACCATTATGGACACTAACAGTACATATCAGATAATATTGTGATAGTCAAACATCCAATAACAAATATAATAATCTTGTACTAGTCGCCATATACAATTCATGCATAACTTAAATGCAAACCAAACAACCTGTAAACGTACTACAAAACTTTATTTCTGATTTTATCTTTTATGTTGTTGTATTTTTTCATAGAGTAAATTTTATCTTACTCCTTTAACCTTTTAGGATAGGGAACAACCCCCCCCCCCCCCCCC